CAACTTCCGCGTTGTCTCTAGACAGCTCCACCATCTGACTCATTATTTTCAATGCTCCCTCCATGATTTTGGATAATTGAGTCAATGGAGAACTTCGCTCTTCCTCTATTGCCTGATTCCTCTCCAATTGGTTCTGCAAGGTTTCAAGCACCTTGTTCAGGTGTTGGTGAGATATCATTGTGTCCTCCACTGACTGGAACACTTCCACTTCCTTTATTACAGGTTTATTTGCCTTTGACCCTGTAGCATCTACTATTTCACTCTTTGCCTCTTTCCTCCTCTAAGAATCTGCTGTGGAAATAATCCTCTATAAGTAATACCTTTTACTAGACAAATTTTGATTTGTTAGGCCTAACCGTCTAGCTCTTCTCTCCTAACTCTAGATTTTCCAGCATTCTAAGTACCCATCCATTAATCAATAAATAGATTTAAACAACCTTGATGATATTGAGAGAAAAAAAAATTACTCTCTTCCAAATTTTCATTTTCCTCTACATTTTTGTTTTGATGATTTTCAGTTCGTTCTTGTTTCTCTGAAAGTTCTGACTCTTCTTCTGAGTTGAGCTCTTCTAAAAACTCTAAGTCTTCTTCATTTTGTTTTTCCTCTGACTTCTGGAACCTTCTTCGTCATGTTTATCATTTGAGTCGGAATCACTCGAGGGACTTAGCATTCCTTCAAGGAAGTAGTTCTTTGAACTTTTCTCTGTCATCTATTTCAGGATTTTGAAACAACACAAAATTAAGTCAGTTTTAAAATCCATATTTCAAATTTACTCTTAAATTCCCTTCAAGTCCAGGTATCGAGATACGCGGTAGCGTATCGGCCAAGAAAAGTTTTGACCGACTGAGCAAAACATCAGGCCGAGAGCACCGCGTATCTATACACAACAGAACTTCCCCCTCCACTACCTCTAAATGATTTACATTCGTTATAATGAAACCGGGGCGAAAAATCGGGAAAGTGTCGTTAGTTACATTATATGAATCGCCTATGAGCTTTTCCACGGTGTAACTATGGTATTTTTTTTGGATTAACAGTAAAAAAGATACGCGCATAGCAACGAGTTGATATTCACATTCTCGCGATTCACATCATAAAGTGTGAGAATCAAGTTGTAACGTTGGCAGCGCTGGTCCAACTGAGCTTCATATCCAATGTTGAAGTGTTGCCACCAGTGCATTTGAATGTCGGTTGTGATGTTGTTATGGAGAACCACAGAAAATGTTCTTCTTCACGTTAAATCACTTATTAAAACTTAACGCAAAATCGGCTCGGTGTTCTATTTTGTTTTCTCTCGTCGAAAATTCAAATTTTATCCCGCCATATCTATATTCATATGCTGACCTCGGACATAAAGGTAGTTTATGCACTGTTTGTGAGGTCATCGGTTTATATTTGGAATGTGACAAAAGGGAGATGTATCGAAAATATTGTGTGATCAAGTATTAAATGTCCGTGAATAGTTAAATTCGAAAAGAAAATATTTATTTTTCTCCGAGTGTAACGGAAAACGTTTTCATTCCCTGGAAAAAAATTCACTAAATTAAGTGACAGTGAAATGCGAACAATTTTATGATTATTTAGGAAAAATTAGTAGGAGACGGTGGGATTAAATGGACACTTTGAATCCTTTCCAAAATGTTCATGTCTTATTGAAGTGCTAATGAAATAGATTTTTTTTTTAAATTAAAGTACAGTCAGCCCCTTTGTAATAAGCTTAGACTGAGCTCATGAATTTGTTCCATATAATATAATTTGAGACTGAGCTCGATGAATTTGTTCCTTGGTTATAAATATTGAAATAAGTAGTCAGAAGAGTCCATTCCACCCAATGTTTCTCTAAAAATTTTAAAAACAAAAAAAACAAAAACAGATGTTTTCAAAAAGAATTCTTTGTGAACATTTTGTTTGACTATTCCTATAAGGAAATCAGTTCATCTCTCCACGAAATACAATCCTTATAGAAATCATCAGAGCAAAAATTGAATGGGGAACCAAATCAAGTCAGAAAATTATTAATAGATGATTAAAATTTGAAATTCGGTGGAGAGAATAAATCTAGAGTAGAACTGTTTATTTCCCTTCAATTGTTGATTCAAAAAATGTTCTATCTTATGAAAAATGAATCAGTTAAATTGAATTGAAAAGAACAAATTTCGTCGGATGTGAAAACAATCCTTCCTTATTTTGAAAAAAATGATTAAATCTGCCTAAAAACACAAAAACAAATGTAGGAGCAGGACCAACGTTCTTGGCGCGGAGTTTTTCAATTCACTGTCTGTATCAATCTACTCCTCCATCCTTTGATCCGCGCCAAGGACGTTGTTCCTGCTCCTACTGATTTTTTATTTCATGGGGAATTTTTTTAGAATACTTATTCCATTGAGAACTATTTTTCTTATAGAAACCTGATTGTGCACTATCACCATTTATTCAAAATTCCTAACTTGGCTTCCTCTTTTATTTCTATATATTCTTCAGGAACTTCGATTTCCCAGTAGGAATCGAACAAAACTTTTTCTTGGCCCAGTTTTTTTACAAAAACATTTGTTTTTGTGTTTTTCTCTAGTTTTGACCAATTTTCCCTTGAAAAAATTTGTTTCTTAGTTCTAAACCAAAATCAACGTACAACAGTTGAACATGGCTTGAAACAGAGAGTCGTATCTTCCCAAAGTGCCTCCGCGCATGCGCGCACCGTGCTCCAAGATTTGGCTCGACGCACAGCAGTGAAAACCGTTGAAGCTGGTTGATCAAGCACACTTATGCGATACCCTGCGGTATACGCGTCTCCCTTTAGTTAACAAGTGAATTTACAATGCACTGCAATTTGGAAACCCGCAAGTTACCCTGAAATTTTCTTCGGTCATTTTGTGGAACTTTTATTTATAAGAAATTCCAATTCATTTTCTCTTTTTCCCTCTAGAACTTTCTCTTATGTATCTGTCTTCTAAACTCTGAACTTCTTTTTCAACATCGAAAACATAAACACAAGAAATATCGGTTTTCTTTTCTCTTTTCTTCTTAAATTCTAACAAATCTGCGGGGAGCACAATAAAAGAGTTTGTTTATATTCTCGAGGCGCGCGTCGGTTTTCGCCTATCAAACAAGCTTAGACCTGTACATTTGAGTCAACTCATGCTGTCTTTGCCTCCATTCGTGGTTCTAATTTTTTCGTTGCTATGTGTATAAACTTGATTTGAAACGTGAATTTATTAAAAATTTTATTAACTATTAATTCTAGCTACTATATTTTTCACTTTTCTTCCAATGGACTTCTAAATCCACTTCTAATTTCATTTGTTTTACTCGTGTCTCTTTATTCACCTAAACTCAATTAATTCGTTTTAATTACCCGGGTGTATCTTTGATGCTCATTTGTAATTCCGTCGCCAAAATATTCCTGTACGTACTCACCTCTTAAACTCTTTGTAAATCCTCTTTTTGTGACTAGAATCTTCTCTTAATCCTCCAATCACTTAATCACTGGCCCCCTTTGTTTTTTTTTTTGAAAACGCAGTTGAACGTGCCCTGCGCCCATAACCTGTTGGACTAAACTAACCCAGGTGATGCATATAATTAACAGCAACGCACAGTATATTTATATATATTTAAGCTCTTTATTGGTCATCCATCTCTTACGACTTGTAACGAGATTTTCTCGTTACGTGTTGATATCTCCTTAAATATGAAAGACAACTGTTAACCTTATTGTAAGAGAGACAGGAAGTGACATCTAGAGGCGGCTCAAAGAGCCGCGATTGAATGGGAAGGGCCACAGACCGATTACAGGCTGAAGGCATAGCGGTTTTGGGCGGAACCGCGACCCCTGGAAGTCTAAAGGACGTTACTAGACTATCGCTATTTTATAATTCGCCCAGCATGTGCTAAAGGAAAAGGGACCGACGTACAGGCTGTCCAACTGGGTGATTCTAAAGGCTATGTCGGAGTAGACTAAGGACCAATGGCCAGGTGAAAGGACTGGTATTTCCGTGATCCCGTCGGGTTGATTGGTGGGGATAGGGTAACGGAATGACCTACCGTCGCCGAGATACCCAGACTAGGAGGCAAGGCCCTAGTAAGATTCCGAGTTAGTCGAACGCGAGCGCTTGAACCGAAAGGTTAAAAAAATCTCTCGGTATGCTGGATGGAGGAATGGTTGAATAAGCCATAATAAGGAGCTTCGGACTCCACGTCGCCTCGGTGAATAACCGTTGTCGGCGAGCGTAGGGGGATGCCCCTGCATCCCCCGGTAGTAAAAAGGATTTATTTCGGCACGCGAAAGTAGATAGACTAAGCGGGTTCTGTATAGTAGTTCACTCAACCGCCACCAGGGGCGCCACCGTCGTGGAAGGATCTGGAATGGTGGCGCCACCGTCCCGGAACATTCGAGAAGGATGACGCCATCAATGACTCACCGACTCGAGTGGTGGGGGAATCTCTCTAAGACCTGTTGGGACTTGTATCCCTATATAAAAGATCCGTGAGGTGAAAAGTGTCATGGCGGAGGTCCATGGGCACTGAACGTTCTGATTGGTCGAATGGAATGGCAAGTGTCATGGCGGTCCGGGAATTATCCAAATGTCATGTTAGATGGCGCACGCATACTTTTTCAAAGGGAGTCATTAGTTCTCACACAAATTAATAATTATATAAAATGTGTAGCATAATTAAACTATATCATTCCAGTAGAAAATAGTAATAATTTTTATCATTGATATTCAAAAAAATGTTAAAACGCCACAACTGTGATGGTTTACATCAGTGATTGGCGGTAGTAATGCTGAAGATAGGAAACTTCATTGTTCCAATCGTTGGGCCAGTGTTTACTAGCGGTGGCGCTGATGGCGAGCTCCATCAGTAACGATGCGATCGCAGCCCCCTCATTGATAGATAGGTGGCGCTGCGCATATCTCCGGTAACGAGTAGAGTTTCTCGCCTCTATAATAGTGAGTTCATCAGTCGTAGAGGAAATAGGATCTTTCTTTCTGCGACTGATCACCGAGGAGAACGAATCAACCACAATTAATTTGACCGGTGTTTTGTGTTTGTAAAGTGAAACTTTTTATATCCAAAAATGGCACGTCGTCTGGAAACTATCGTTCTTTCAACGAATGAGGAAATGGATAATCTCCAACCGGGTGACAATACAGCGTATGTATTTTTTCAATTTAATATGTTTTTGATGGATATTTTTCTCTTCTCTCATCGCGTGTCGTTTCTCATCACCACGTGGGAGGATAATGGCACACGTTATCCGTTGTGATCCTCAATCATTTTTAGTTATAATAATTAAACAAAATAAGTAAACAATTACCAGTATTTTTTCATTTGAAATTGGGATCCATCGCTGCATTTAAAACAAAATATATTTTTCATCAATATTTTTCCTTTTTTTTTACTGTGTGTAGTCTCCATCAATGGCGGATGTTATCCGTTGTGATTCCAAGTCATCTTTGGCTATAACTCGAATAAAAATCAGTCGTTTTTTATTTAAAATTGCGATCCATCGGTGTATTTAAAACAAAATCATATATTTTTTATGAATATTTTTCTTTTCTTTTACTGAGCGTAATTTTTCATCACCGCTTGGTCGAGTAATGGCGGATGTCAACCGTTGTGACGTCATCTTTGGTTATGATTCGAACAAAAATCAGTGCTTCCATTTGAAATCGCGATTCATCATTGTGCCATAATGAATTATTTCGGGGAGAGTAGTGGATAAATGAGATAAAATATTTCGAAAATGAAAACAATTAACAATTGAAGAGAGGAAAATTGAATTGCTAATAATTGCATCATGTTAGTTTAGTGGAAAATGTTTTATCCCTATTCGATCAATAATGATTCCTATTATTTTTATTCCTTCTATTAAAAACTCTAGATCATTCTGCAATCCATGTTGTAATTCCCAGAGTAGCATTTAATTGATGATTGTTTTTTTTTCTCTTGAGAAAATTGTAATTGTCTATCTCTTATTTACTTGAAACAATTCAAACTGGGTTTTTTTTTAATTTTATTGCTTTTTTTAAATATCATTTTCGTTAATTATTTGATTCGACTATTGAACAGATTTTTATTTTGTCTGAAAACAAAGAACCTGTACCATTCCAGTTATTATATCATTGTCCAATGTTCACTTCGTTCCTGTCAAAATTCTCAAAATGCAATTATAAATAAATGTACACGCCATTCAAATTATAATCTTAACCGGTGATGTGTTTTTCTGGGAAATTTAATTTGTTTTCATGCGTTTGTATAATGATGATTATTTTTTATTGAATTTATCATTAAAAAGAAATTGGAAGAAGTCTTTGGCATGAGTCAATTTTACATTAGAATATGCAAGAATTGAATTCTAACGAGAAACAGTTGCAACGTTCTGTTTTCAGTGACATCACTGGAGTTGTGATTCGTCTAGACCCACCTAGAAGACGTGCAAATGCAGCTCCACCTAAAATGCCTCTAACCAGAGCAATCCTGCACAATCGAGATGAAAATGGTGGTTGTTCGGTTCGTCTTTTGGGTTGGAGACAGTGGGCTTCCAGGCTTGAAACTCAAATTGGAAAGGTACTACTTTTCTCCTAACAAATTCTGAAGAGTTGAAATCTTGAAAATCAATATTTTTTGATTGGAATATAACAATACTTCTTTTTCTTCAATTCTAGGTCGTTAGGATTACTCGAGACAGGGTAACACCTTCAAATCCAATGTTTAGAGTTGCCGAGGAGAATCTCATGGACGTGGAGATCTCAATGAGTGACAACACCAATGTTGAAATACTAATGGACATGCCTTCTGGGCCCGATGGTCCTCAACCTCAACAGGTCATCCTTCATGACTTGGCTAGATACGTGGGCTCGCTAATTGGTAAATGAAATTATATCAAATTTTATCGTTTGAACTTCTTTTCTTTTTTTACTCGTCAGTAACCACAATTTTTTGTTCTTTGTTGCAAAGACTTCTGGGTACATAAGGGTGAAAATAGAACGACAGCTGGTAGGAAATGTCACCTACGGTTCAGGAGCAGTGAAAGATGGTGTGTACCATCTTTGTGTCAATGTCGCTAATTTCGATTTAGCTACAAGACCTGAAGTAGGGATACATGTCACCGTTCGAGGTACAGTGAGAAGGAATCGCTTTAACACTGTGGTGCTCCAAGTTCCATCATCAACAGATATTACGGTGTTAGATGACAATGTCATGTCACCTCTAGAAACACGTATGGATTTTTTGTAGCACCAGTGATCATCGAACCAGTCAATGATCAAGATGCAGCACCAGTGGTCATCGAACCAGTCGAAATTCCTCAGGCAGCACTCCAAGATGTCATTGAAGAAGTCGATGTTCCTCAGGCAGCAGTCTCAGATGTTGTTGAAGTCGGTGTGGCCCAGGTTATCAATGAAGTGGAGCCAGTCAACGCTCGAGCTATAGAAATTGCTCAGAACCCTAAAAGACCTTATTCTGCTGAGGATGGTCAAGGACCAAGTTCCACGGAAGCTCCCATCAACGAGAGAAGGAGAAATCGTCCTCGATTTGAGGAGGATTCAGAGGACGAGGAGGAGAACATTCAAGGAACGGAAGACTCACACGTTCCTCGCGCAGGTTAAATATGGTTTTTGATAAATATTTGAGCATTCCATTTTTATTCGTCAACTTCTCTGTGAATTGCATTTTTTACTCTTCTCACTTTTTTACCAGAAAATATCTGATTTTTTCCAATCGTTCAAAATCACTGCACTTTTGTTTTCACGAATTGAAAAACAATTATTCTACTTAATTTTTATTTTATTTTTATTTTTAGAATTGTCATGAGAAAAATTCACATTTTTCTTTAATAAACAAAGTCAGTTTTGATTTTTTATAAACGGATATTTCTGGAATACCATTGTCATTTCTATGTTTTTTTTACTTTTTGACGGTCATGATTTGTATAGGTAAGAAGGAAGAATGAATTATCATTTTTTTTCTCATTTTTTTCTTTTTATTTTTTTCGATTCTTTTTCAATGTATTTTCATTTTCAAAAAAAGAATTTTCTTCCTCTCTTCCATAGAAATCATGATTCTGTGATTTATTTTTCATCATTAGAATTAAGCACTATAAAGAATGGTTTTTCTTTAAACTTCAACACGACAGTATTCTCAGTAGTCATAATAGAGTTGTCACTATTATCATAGGTAAAAGAAAGGAGTCATAGCTTTCTATCATCCTAATATAAAAATATAAAACATTTAATTATAGTTGTAAAGAAAGACTAAAAAGACTGTTATGCTATGAGATAAAATATGTTGTCTATTAAGTATGAACCTGTTGATGTAATACGTAATATATAGTAATCGGAGCTTGATGAGGACAAATAATCCTCAATTGTCTCAAAGTTTCTACTTTGTTCGTTTCATTTTTTGATATTAATAAATTTTGCATTGTGTTTGAAAATAAAAAAATTTGTACTGCAATGCTCGCCTTATTTAATTGTGCATTCAACTATGAATTTCAAGAGGCGATACAACTTGTGGAGGAGTTATCATCAGAGTAAATATATTCCATTCCATTTTTTAGGGTAAAATAATCATTTTTCAAAAATGTAATTGTTACGAGCTTTTCAATTACGCAGTGTGCAACGATTAGGATTTTTGTAAATAATGAATTCACTATAAAAAAAACTTAAACTGAAATTTTTTACTCTGATGGTAACTATCACACAAGTTACGTGGCCTCTTATTCCAATGGCTGTATGATGAAATTCCTCGGCTGACACTGGTGCCATCTTACGCTCAAGGTATCCAACAGAATCATCCGATCAAAATAACAGAAACTTTCGAATTTCAAATTCTTCATGTCGGCCACTCGTGGCGGCTCAGCGATACCCCATCGTTTCCGATGGAACTCACCACCAGCGCCACCAGAAACAAATATTAATTGCACGTGTATTATTGTGGAGTGTCCCATCTTCAGTATTACAACTACAGTAAACTCGCCATAAAGGGATATTCTCTCGAAAATAATATTTTAACTCTCAATTGGAATATTCGACTGTGCCCATTTTCCCCCACTGCTTTCTGGTCAGGTGGTCGAGACACATGCGCTAAAAAGCTGATGTAACCTTGTGCAAGGTATAGATTTCTGGTACTTTCTGCTCATAAGAGTAGATATAACCATTTGGAATACCAAGGTATAGATTATCAATATGCTTTTGAATGTTCATTTTGAATATAATTGTCTTCTATCAAATATAACTGAGCAATTTCAATGCTTCCATTCACGAGAAAAAAAAGTGAAACAAATTGAATCATTTTCAAACTTTCGTGGGTTGAGGCAAGTGCCGCCTAACAGCTTGGAGTGGGGGTTAGGAGGAGAACAATAGTGATGTTTTAACATTTTGCATTAATAATCAATCCTATTTCAAATAATTCTGACGCGATTTTGGTCTGAATAAGTTTTCTAATTACGTCAAATGAATTTATGTAAGACCGAATAATTCCAGAATCTTTGAGCTTCAGCGCCACCACTCGACAAACTTTCACATCGTGCACTCACTGAGGCCTATCTAAGAGCCGACGCACAATCAAAAAGAACAGGGAATAGAGAACAGCTATTAGGAACAACGCATGCGCAGTAAAATTTTTTCTATTTGAAACGTTTACTGCGCATGCGTTGTTCGTAATATCTGTCCTCTATTCCCTGTTCTTTTTGATTGTGCGTCGGCCCTAACGCATTCTTTCCCGCTCATTATTATAACCTAGAAATAGTAAAAATATACGAGCCCTGCTGTATAACGTTGTCCAGACCACCACGTTTTTTACTTTGAGAAAAATAAATGAAACGTTACGCTGTTGCGTATTCTGCATAAAATCCGCAGGTAAGAGAGAGATATTTATTTCCATTTCTCTTCTATAGATTATATTTGTTCATTATTGAATGGTGCACTACGAACGTACAAAAACAGAAGACCTTCATCTTCTCTCAAGCATGCAACAACCGAATAAAATGGAACCAAGTAGCAATTGTTGTTAATGAAATGAAATCGATAATAAATATAAATAATAGATCATCTTCGCTTGAAAATAATTTCCGGGTAATTGGTTCATGACAAAAAAAGAAAAAATTGAATTTACCTTCATTGCTGGTGGATATTTCGTCCTGAAAACCTCTCGCACATTTAATGCAGTGAATTTGACTTGGAAAATAAGAGTTAAACGTTCAAATTGTGCAATGCAAATTTCTGAAATTCATTGCAAATTAAATTTCGGGGATCATTAATCAATTATTAAGCATGAAATCGAATACTAAAATCCACAGTTGGGCAGTTTCATCAGAATTGAGGTATTTTACCACATGAAATATAATACCGGTAATTTACTTTTTTATGGTAGAAATGTGAAAAATTGGTAGAAAACTCTCCAATCTGACAACCTATGAATAACGAACTACATTGAATCTGAAATAACATTACATCTTAATTTCAGATTTCAATCCCTGATTTCAACATTTCAAATGTCAAAATTCTCAAGTTCAGAATCTTCAATTCCAGAATTTTTAATTTCATAATTTCAAACTTGGGAATTTTCAATTTCAGTATTCCGAAATATCTAATTTCTTTTTCAAATTTCAAATTGGAAAATTTTCAAATTTCAGAATTTTAAATAACAGAATTTCACATTGCAATTTAAAATTTCAGAATGTCAAATTCCAAGATTTCAAGATTTAAAATTTTAGAATTTCTAATTTCGAAAATTAATATTGAAAAACTCAAATTTCGGAATTTCCATTTCTAAATTTCAAATTTGAGAATTCCAGTATTTCAGAATTTCGAACTCCAAATTTTAGCGTTACAGAATTCTAATTGCAAAATTTCAAATTTCGTTCACCGAGGACAGACTTTAACCTATCTAATGTGATGTTTTGGACCTGATTGAGCTCATAAAAACTCAAAACTGAGAGTGAAAATTTATTTTATGAGGCTATTTGAGCTTTCTTACATTTTTTACAGTTATTACGCTGTATAGGTAAATTACCAGATTTTACTGTCTTTAGGCTGAAATGTCCATCACTCTGTTTCTTTTCATCTTAATATTTTTACTTTTTCAGAGCAAGAGACGTTTTCGAGTTGTTGGAGCGCTAATACTGATTCTGATTTGATACGGTATAGCATTTATCCTTATAATTTGCTTCAGGACGGAAGACATTGTTGCGTGAGTCATCTATGTGTTATTATTTATGATCTTGATTTATACCTTTTCTATTCTTATTTATGTGAAATACTTCATTTTCAGCTTCCCCAGAGATCATCCAACGGCACGCTGTGAGAATTCAATAATCGGAGTGGATGACACATGTGTTTAATTGAATTGTAATATTTTGTAAATATTTTGTTATGTAAAAAAACTTTCGTAAATAAAAATAAAGTATATCCTTCTTACCTCTAAGTTTGAACTCAGCCAAAATCAGGATTACCAAAGATTATACGCCCTAAACCAGAAAATTGATTAAAGAGTTTCAGAGATTAAAGGTGATCAAGAAAGAAAAGAATTAGAGATAGCCAAAGCATTGAGATTCAAAATAGAAAGAAAAATAACCAGAGAGATCTTATTAGTGACAAATAGACTGAATTCGATTCGAAGCAGACCTCAAGTGTGAAAATAAAATAGATAACAAAAATGTCAAAACAATCATTCAAAGGTCTTAATGAAAGCATAGAGAGAAAGAGGATGAAACTTAGTGATTGTTCTAACCCATCTACATTAAGTTCAAAAGTGGTTTCATCGAAAGAACTCCAAATATCTAAATCACGCCATTCAAATCCAAGATTGGATTCCAACAATTCTATGAGAATGATTCAAATTAACGATAATTCCGATCATTCTGAGATCACTAATGTGTGACGAGGCGATTCTTTATTTTTATTTGTTTTTATTTTATACTTTGCCCAACTACACACTGCCCCCTAAATAATAAAATCCCGCCACCGTTGGATAACCCTTCTCTCGATTTTCCCCTCATCGCCCCTCTACTCCCGCCACTGGACATCACGAAGACATCAGCCGAAAAAAGACAACAGTTCCGGCCCTACCGGATAAACTGAAGGAGCCGTTGCTCCCCCCACAAACCACCCATACATGGGCCTCGGCAACCCACCACCCTCGACGATCCCAACGAGACATCCCTGGATTGTGGTCATTGTCACCATTCACCCGTACTGATTGGGCCCGATTGCTCCCGAATTCCAACCCGAAGGACTTCGGCACCCGATGAACCCCCACGAATCACGGAGGAAACGAAGAGACCGACACTCGTGTAACCGCTGTCCTGGACACTGCCACGTGCGCCCCAAATTAATTGAATTATAAGTGAACATACCTCAAAGTCGATACATTTGGATTTTGTTGGGATAAAGAGGATTTTTGGTGCCCGAGCTCATCCCGGCCGTAGTTACTGTGCCCGTGGAATGCAGAAGGAGGAACGAATGCTCAATCTCTGGAGTCATCGAAGGACTCGGATTAGCCCTGAACTGGAAGTCGTGAGTACGAGTTGTCCCCCTCATTTCCCCTTCGCCTCAAGAAGTATTCCTTTCTATACCCCCCAACGGTGAGCCTACAGTCTTTTGTTTCTTCCCCATTTAGTTATTCTTCTTATATTTAATTGCATTCCCTTGACACGACTAGCTTCTCCCCTTTTTCTGCATTAAAGTCACTCCCCTTTTTACGTGTACAAAAGTTGTCTGGCCTTACCCATAACCCTAGATCCAAGTAAAAGGCATTTCAAGCGTCTTACGACGATCTATTATGTAAATTAATAGAAATATAGATATTCAGTTAATGTTATCCCTCATTTGTCCTCATTATTTAATTGCCCTAAATCCCCCTTTTAGGAAATAATACTAATTAAATATTGAAAGGTCACAAATGATATAACTGACCTTGAAACGGTTCATGCAAGCCAATCAGGAATAAATAATCGGTCCCCTCATTATTATGCATTATCTGAGCATAACTATTTTCAAAATTTGGTGCCTACTCCATGTAAGGCTATACTAGAACATAATTATGCTCGAGTTTCTACTTCTGTTCCAACCAATCATTTACCAGGTAACAACACTACGACAATAACTTCAAGATCAAATGTCGATCGAGCCCTTCTTAATCGTAATGATAATGACATTATAGGTCTTCACATAGATATACCTGAACATCATCTTGGTTTAATGAATTTCTTATGTCAACATTGTGGAGCAAAACATTTTAAAGATGAAAAAGCTGTAAATAGAAAAGATTCTTATAACGACGGTTGTAGCCATGGGAAAGTTATTTTACCATCTCTACCAAGATCGCCAGAGATTCTAGAATCATTATTTAATGGGATCCATGAAATGTCAATGGCATTTTTATGACCGTATTCGTTATTATAATAACTCATTCTCATTTGCTTCATTCAATGCCAATTTGGTAAAATTCAATAATAGGCGTCCTGCTCCTTATTATTTCAAAATCCAAGGACAAATATACTATCAAATCAATACAGCTCTGTATCCTGCTAATAATGAATTACCAAGTTATGGGCAACTCTTCATAGTAGACTCTAATGAAGCAGTCGATTACAGGCTTCAATCAAATACTAATCTGAATGCCGAAGTTTTAGGGAGTATTGATAGAGCAATGCGAGAGTGTAATTCATTCGCGAAGACATATCATATGATGAGAGAAGAATTAGAATTGATAAAAGCACAGAATGATGGGCAAGAGCCAGAGTTACAGTTGTTGTTTACATTGAAAAAAGGATTAGACAAACGACGTTATAATTTCCAGCGTGTCAATGAAGTTGCCGCCATATTTTCGACTACAGCAGACGGTGATATTCCAGAATCATATGTGACAGTATACAATAAACGAACAAAGTTATTGCAACATGTTAGTTCCATGGATCCCAATATGGAACCTTGGACCTATCCACTATTTTATCCACATGGGACTCCAGGTTGGGATAGTGAAATGAGATTAATCAATGGATCGAGTAGACTCACAAGAAATGCTTACATTAAATATCGTATGGCAATCCGAAATGAACCGAATTATATTTTGAAAGGACGTCGCTTATTTCAATAATGGACGGTCGATCAATATGTAAAAATGGAGAAAGATAGATTAGAATTTATCCGAAATAAACAAAGAGAACTCAGAGCTGATTCATATCAAGGTGTGCGCGAACATCTTGAAAGAAGATCTGGAGAAACAAACTGTCGTATTGGACGTATTTTCATACTTCCATCATCACATCAAGGGTCCCCAAGAAATATGTTACAGATTTATCAAGATGCTATGACGATAGTACGAAAATTCGGTAAGCCTGATTTGTTTATTACAATGAAATATAATCCAAAATGGAAAGAAATTACTGAGAATCTTGAAGAGGGACAGACTGCTTCTGATAGACCAGATTTAGTTGCACGTGTTTTTGAATTAAAGAGAGAAGAGCTTTTGAACCTGATAAAGAAGAAGAGATTATTCGGTGAAGTACAAGCTTACGTTTATGTCATCGAATATCAGAAACGTGGTTTACCGCATGTTCATCTGCTATTAACATTGAAGCCCAACTAAAAAATTACTACTCCTGAAATTGTAGATAAGTACATTTCCGCTGAAATCACAAGTCCAGAAGAAAATGCGAGATTGCATGGCATAATTACAAGAAATATGATACATGGACCGTGTGGTAACTGGTGCATGAATGAAAAGAAAAAATGTTCAAAGAATTATCCAAAGGCATTCTGTGAGAGGACGACAATAAATGAAGACGGTTATCCTGTGTATAGACGTCGAAACAATTGCACTTACATACGTCATGATGGTTCTACGTTCACTAATCAAGATGTTGTACCCCATAATAAAGAATTGATGATTCTCAACTGTCATATCAATGTCGAAGTAGTATCAAGCATTAAAGTAGTTAAATATCTTTATAAATACATTTATAAGGGTCATGATGCCGCTGCTGTAGTTGTTAGTGATTCAAATTCAACTGAAAATCAAGGAGTTATAGAACATGACGAAATTCGAAATTACATGGAAACTCGCTACGTCTGTCCACCCGAAGCATGCGCACGAATTTTGAATTTTTCATTGCATGGAAGAAGTCATGCCATTGTACGGTTATCAGTGCATTTACCTAATCAACAAACCATCACGATTCAAGACATTGAAAATGACGATATGCTTCGAACGAGACTGGAGAAACAATCGCATCTAATGGCATATTTTTCCTTAAACCAAAGAGATCCAGATGCTAGACAATTTACTTATTCGGAAATACCAAGTCATTACACTTTTATCACTAATAAAAACAATGTAGGCGTCCGGCAAAAACGGAAAAATCACTTCAATACCATTGGCCGCATGTATTCAATCAGTCCTACACAGACTGATTTATTCCATCTCAGATTGTTACTGATTTCTGTGAAAGGAGCTACAAGTTTTGAAAATTTAAGGACTGTTAATGGAATAATGCATGAAAATTATGTCAGTGCTTGCTTAGCATTAGGTTTAATCGAAGATGATGATGAATGGAAAAATGCTCTCCATGAAGCTGAAGTCTGGATGATGCCGAGACAACTACGTCATCTATTCGTACGCATTTTAGTTCACTGCAAACCACTACATCCAGGAGAATTATGGGATGAATTTAAAGATGCATTATCAGAAGTTTTTTCATGAACAATATCACAGTTACAAGCACACAGGAAAGCCTGCATCCAAATAAACTCTTTACTGACACAAGAAAGATCAAGTCTTGCAGATTTTCCTACGATGCCTCAAATTACGGAAACTGATGATGTTGAAGATTCCATGCTACCTGCAGAACATGAGGCTATTGGCATGCAACAATATCAAAAGCTCAATCAACAACAGAAACACGCTATTGATACTATTTTGGAGACATAATCAAATAGAAACGTCGAAGCCTCTCGATGTTTTTTTATTAATGGACCCGGTGGATCCGGAAAAACATTTATTTATACAACCTTATATCATTTGCAACGAAGTCAAGAGAATAAGGTTTGTACTATGGCATTTACAGGAATAGCTGCTACATTACTTCCTCACGACAAAACAGTTCATAAGACATTCAAGTTGCCAATTGCACTGTACACTGATTCATCACAAACTATTACAGCTCAATCTCCAGAAGCCGACTACTTGAGAAATATTGATATGTTCATTTGGGACGAGGCACCGATGGCACTAAGGCATGCTCTCGAATTAGTTGATAAGACTTTGCGTGACATATTGAACAGTGATAAACCATTTGGTGGCAAAATAATGTTATTAGGAGGGGACTTTCGTCAATTACTACCAGTCAAGAAAAATGCA